TCCAGGTAAATTTCATAATTAGCGTTGCATGGTCTTCGGCGGCTACTGTATTTGTATTCGGCTATTAACGCATTTGCCTTTAGGGAAACAGCACTAGGGGACCTCGGTTACGCCTTATGCCTGATCCATGACTTCAGAACTTGAACGCACTCATCACCCTGTTTGACATTTCCGGGCCAATCAAAAGCATCTTCTTCTACAAATATGTTTTTCTTATACAACGCTTTATCTTTAAACTGCATCAAAAGAGAGGAGGGAGGGACATATAGAGGGAAATCAGCTGTATGTGGCCATCGTTGGAATCCCCATCTGGGCCCCTGAACGGACCACGTGGTAGATTCGCTGGATTACCACGGTGCTCAAATCAGTGTACTGCCAGCGTTATTCGTGTTGGGTACAGATAACAAATGGGCTCGGCACCGTACCTTCAGGCGGTCCTGGGCTCGCCAGCTTCCTGCGCCCCATCCCACCTATACTCCTGAATGTGTCTTGACACAGGCTCAGGAGGTTTTGGAAGAGACAGTATGGTAGATACAGTGTACAACTACATTAACTATAAGCTTATCCCTGAGAAATTCGCCTACTCTACGCCGCCTTGCTTTGGAGTAAACGGTAGACTCCGTCGAAATCGATGGCTTAACTGTCGTTTCACAATAGCGCACCTTGCTTCGCGAAAATCTGCCAGACTTTTACTTGTAACAAATAAATACCATTCTATCGTCTGCAGCTCTTCGCTGTAGCTGTTTTTATTGGCCATCGAAAGGCCATTCCTTATTCCCAAATCTTTAACTTTTTGTTCTACAATGTGACCAATCTGTAAATTCTTTTTGCAAAATTTAACCACCTCTTGCAGATCCTGTTTCTCCTTCTTTCGACATTCGGTTTCATGATAAGATACTCCCCGCGGTTCGTAACTGACTGCATGCAACAACTGTTGGACGAAGCGGTGCCTGAAGCCAACGCAACGAGCCTGGGCCAATTCTTTATGGAAAACGACTGTAATTACTTTTGTCCCCCATAAACTATCGGCCGTTAAAGTAATATGTCCGTTTTGTAGGCGCCCAATACATCAGAATTATAAACAAGACAAGGATCACGAGCTTAGCAGGATTAATTGACGTCATATAATTTCGCGACCTCTTATTCAACTGCAAACGGTCGTTGCGTATTCATGAGATATTTAACTGTCCAATTAAGGGCCAACCTAGAAGGGTGAAACTTGATAGGTAAATAGAATAGAAGCTACTTCGCTTAGGTGTGGACGCGTGGTGAGTGGTTAGACGAAGCGGTGCCTGAAGCCAACGCAACGAGCCTGGGCCAATTCTTTCTGGAAAACGACTGTAATTACTTTTGTCCCCCCTTAAACTACAGGCCGTTTTGTAGGCGCCCAAAACATCAGAAGTATGAACAAAGCAAGGATCACGAGCTTAGTAGGATTTATTGACGTCATATAATTACGCGACCTCTTATTTAACTGCCAACAGTCGTTGCCTGTTCATAGGATTAACTGTCCAATTAAGTGTCAGTATATAAGAGTAAAAACTTGATAGGTAAAGAGAGTACTTGAGAAGAAGAAGACTCGATCGCTGGGACAATATTTGTATTCGCCTGACGTTTCGATATGCGTCGCGGATTCTTCATCAGAGACATGAGCGTACTCTTAGATATGGACGCGTGGTGAGCGGTTAGAGAAGGGGGAGGTAGTTTTCGCAGCATGGCAGTTCATGCAAACCTGTGGGACGTGGTTAAAGGGGGGGGCAGAAGACAGGGTAGCAGCCAGTCCTAAGGGGGGCGAAGAGGCATCAGCTGGATCATGTGATCAAACTCACATTGCCCTGGTAATGGTCGATAAACTCATTCCGGCTCGCGCCTCCCCGTCCCCCTTAGGGCTGGCTGCTACCCTGTCCTCTGCCCCCCTCTCCCCCTCCTTTAACCACGTCCCACAGGCTTTCATAAACATTAACTTACCTGAACTTCCATGATGTGACAATTATCTCCCCCCTCCTCTACCCTCTGGCCATGCGCCCACATCTAATACTAATAGCTTCTACTCCCGTTATCTATTAATTTTCACCCTTATAGGCCAACACTTAATTGGACCATTTATTATCTAATGAATAGGCAACGACTGTTTGTAGTTGAATAAGAGGTCGCGAAATTACATGACATAAATAAATCCTGCTTATCTCGTGATCTTTGCTTTGGTAACATTTCTTCCAGGAAAACATCAGAAGTAAAATGTGGACATCCAAACGGGAACACAGAAGAGGAGCTTTGAGTAGTCGTTTCGTTGCCGATGGGTCAGCAACCAACGACTCTGTATACGTGCGGTAATGTGTGTGCTGTTAACAGTGTTCGCTGGACTGTTAAAGACTAAAATAATAAAACCCATTTCGCGTGTGTCGAGGAAATGTGTCTGAGCCTCTTTGTCCTTAAAAGTAGATTTTGTAGAGGGGATTGGATAGATTCAGTTCTGGAACCTTAGGATGTCACATTGAAATAGTGTCGAATACAAAGCGTCAAGGTATTTTTGCTCCTCTCTTTATTAAAGAGTAATATGTGGTTTTGACTATTGACTTCTAAGCCATTAGTATTATTTTTAATGTGGATAGTTGTGTCAGGCTATTTCCAAATGAGTAAGGAGTACATACAGTGGTTTCCTACAATGTATACACGGATAGATCTCGCTTGGAAACAGCGCGGTGTGCTTTGACAGGGGTGTCTAAACCAATAGGATTTATGCTACTATAAAAATGTTATTGTTGATCGTATTGACTGCATTTTGCATCTAGGAGAACGCCATTCCTGATTCGATTTCATTACCCATCTGCTTTTTTTTAATAACACAGGGCCAATTGCTCTGACGCTCATACTTGTCGGCTACGCTGGTGCTATCTTCTGTTTTGTGGGAGCTATGGCCGCCTGCTGCGGTTGCAAAGGAGTACTGAAAGTTGTGAGTAGCGTGAACAATTTTCGGTTTTGTGTATCACATTTTATTGTGCCTAATAAAACTGGCGTATCGTATGTTATGCTGAAACATATAACGATTCCAAAGAAGAAGAAGAAGAAAAAGCGATCACTGGAACAAGAGTTTTATGGTCCTGACGTTTCGGATTCCGTCGATAATCCTTAGTCATAGGTAAGCGTAAACAAGTCTGAGACATGCGCAGATAAGGGACCCCTTATCATATAACGATTATTTTTTGAAATGGAGCCAGTCAATAGAGACCAGTGCAAAATGCAGCAGCTTATGAGACCTCTTATCAGATGAATATTGACTTTAAAATATATACAAATAACATGGTGAATAGCGGTTTGGAAGCAATAGTTCTTTTGAAAAAAACTGCGGTTTTATTGTTTGTCCTATGCTCTCAGGCTATTTAAAGAAGGTCAAAATGTCATCTTGCTCTTCCGAATAGTTATTTTGGTCAGAAACAAGGGTAACTTCGCTTCTAACCGGTAGCGGGCATTCACAGCTAGGATAAGGATGCATTTATATTATCCGTGCCAGAAAGGGCCGTCTTAATTCAGGCTAAATAATCATCGTCAAAATGCCACCCTTTTTTTATCAATTACCTGAACAAATTATCTTTCCAACACAGGTGTTGTTTGCTTTAAAATAGGGGTACATTGATTTCACCTTTTTTCAATTTAAACATACCGCCAACGTTTATACTCCGAGTTCTCAACAATTTTTAATGTATTTTTTCCCTCCAGTACGCGATCATTCTCGCCATCTTTATCATTGCTGAGGTGATCGGCGTCGGTATCGTTTTTGGAACTGTACGTTTTCCCGCATATGCTACGTGCAGTAGGAGCCTTGCATTTATTTTATTTTTACTGATATACTATCTTCCTGGTTGTTCTCCCCGTACTCTTATAATCATATGTACCCTTTCAGTTGGAAAATACTGTCGATGACTTTATGATTTGGACTTTGAAAGGTATCTACGTGAAGGATAAACGGAATCCTCCCGGTGTTTATGCGTGGTTCCTAATCATGACGGTAAGTATTTTCCCTCTCCTTCTCTCTCCTTAAGAACTATTTTCTAATTTGAATATACGCGAAGAAAAAAGCGCAGGCATTGCTCGGTCAATTGAACGGATCAATTTGATTTTCGTCATGCTCAGCGCTTAAGGCAGTCTGAGAGCCTTTGGCTAGACGAACATTTTGCTTGCGCATTAAAGATGAAAAGATGCAATGCTAGTCTGTGTTACCCCGTGCTATCATTTTCCCCTGCGCACGATTTTGTTGGCAATGAGTAGTCTTTATGCTTTCTACAGAGGTGATTTGGACAACTTAAAGGCCTAATCGGTTTCTGAGGTCGTTTAGAAATGTTAATGTTCTTCGCAATGAGCACCAACTTGCTAACTCGCTCAAACAGGTGTCCGAAATGAAATCAGGACCTGACTCGGTGTCTCTTGTTTCTTGCCCTTTTTAGAAAGACAACGTGACATGCTGCGGTATGAACAACTACACGGACTTTGGATCAAACAGTACGTTTCACTTTCGTTTTATACTAATAGTTATACATGCATTCACTATGCGTGAAGATTCGAGGTCCAGATATCTTATATGTTTTATCATCCGCCAAAGAAGGCGAATGAGAGGGTACGATGGCATGGACCGAATTAAATTGAGACTGACGTTCAGGAAACTTTCTCGGTTCTATCGTCAGAGTAACTGGATGATTGCTCCTGTTTGCCGTGACTTTTAAAGTCTTGTCAGATGCCTGATATTGTATCCGTGACCTGCCTGTTTGCTGCTGATTGACCGTACAATTGACCGCTCGTGGGCCCTTGTGACCTCCCCCTTAAGACTATCGTAACTGTTGATAAGTCAGCGTGCTCACTGACCTGCCCCTCGTTCACCGACGGACTAGTCACTTGTTGCTAACCGGGTAAGATGATGTCACCCTCGTGGGCCCGGCGGTGAAGTGGTGTTCCACGCTGGTCATGTGGTCCCTGGCCTCCTCTGTTCCTACTTTATTTTGACCTTAGTTGGAGCCCACGCTTGAGTTTGGTTTGCCGTCCTGTTGGCCGTGTTCAAACTGGCCGCCCGGTAGACGAGAGGAAGATGTATGGCTCTGTTAAGTGTGCCAGGCGAACAACAACTTTCCAGCTGCAGTCTAGCCACCTTGTCATTGGCTCGGCTTATCCCCCTGGTTTTTTCGAAGGTGAAAGTGTGGTTCTTCAGCGGTTCGTGGTCATAGTTCATAGGCAGATCATTCTTGTGGTTGATTACGACCTGATGCTCATTTGACTTTGTGCCAAGGCGTTTGCAGAGGCTCGAGCAGCTGGTCTTCAGCTCGTCTACTCCGAAATTCTGTGACAGATACGTCGATGTTATTAGGTAATTCTACGTCGATGACACTTTCGTCGTCATCAATAGGAGCAAAGTGCAGACCTTTGAGGTACTGATCAATTCCAACTTTCCTGATATCTAGTTTACTAGGGAAGAAGACTGCCGACAGAAGTTAATATGCGATATTGAGGAAGCAGTTCAGAAGACGAAGCTGCGATCATTGGAAATGGAATTGTGTTTTCCTGACGTTTCGGATTTTGTCGGGAATCCTTTATCATAGGTAACCATTGGATAATAGGAGACATTTGCAGGTAAGAGTCACCCCAAGACGCGAGTCAAGAACGACAGGCAACATGAACTAGTTATCGGAGCCCATTTCTCCCCTCCCCCCTCTGGTTCCTAAGACCTTATTTAGGGCAGTAGTTGGGTTTGGGGAGGGTAAGAAGACGATAAATGTTATGCTAAGAAGTAATTGGCGAAAGCCCTACACCCATTTTTCTTTCATATCGAAGTACACGTTCGCTATCAACCTTCCGCGCCGGGACTACTAAAGCCTGCCGTATGTATCCATTGTCTTTCGCTCACTCTGTTATTTTGTTAGCGAGAGAAATAGAGGTGTTAAGAGAGAGAGAGAGAAAGAGAGAAATGAATGGCAAAAAAGAATTTTGCACAGCTTTTTTGTTACTTGTAAATATCAAGCTTTACTGAGAGCAATCTTTCTGGATGCGAATTTAGTCACAACTCAAAATGTTCAAACATTTTCTGTTATAGGCAGCAAGTATTAAAAAAGAAGCGAAGGGGCACGTTTCAGTAATATTTTGAAGGAAGTAAAAGGTTTTGGTGATGATAATGAGGAAGAGGAGGAGGAGAAGGAGGCGTAGGAAAAAAAGAAATATAAAACGTTTTTTGTAGTTGTTCCTGTAAAAACTCCTAAGCATCGCATGCCGTTGCATCATTTACTTTTGCAAAAAAATGTTATTAACCTATTTCCTGCCCTATTGTGCAACCGTGCCCCTGGCACCACGCCGCAACGTATTGCCACAGAGCCTGTGACCGGTGAACGAATTAGAAGTACATTTCTCTCTCTCGAATAAAGCGTGTGTTTTAGGCACCGGGACACAAAACGCCATTTCTACACGCACATACGACTTATCTTCTCGTTTGCATTTTCCTTTATAGCCATTCCTTCCACTTGCTGCTCAGAAACAGTCAACTCAATGCCTACAGAGTGTTCCCTAACTACAGCAAAGAATGTGAACAGACCGGGTTGTAGGGAACGAATTAATAAATTCATCAACCAGGAAAAGCTTGTCCTTGTCTCCATACCAGTCATCTTTATTGTTATTGGGGTCAGTTATTCTTGCACTGGCTACCACCTATGCAGAGTCTTTAAAATTGCACTTTTTTTCAAATCACAATTGTCGTGGCTAGTGGTTTTGCGTTTGGTCTGCAGCGTCAACTTGGATGACGTGATTTTTAAATTGCGTGGGCATAGTAGATAGTGAAAAGCGTTGCTATGCTCCGGTGCAAACTCCACCGACCCGTCAGTTGTGCAGGGCTGACGCGATACATATGACCCCAATTTCGACACAAATCTCATTAACCTAGCAAGTGCTCTAACATATAAATTATTACCAGGTTTCAGCACTTGCAAAATGCACTTTCCAGTGTAGTCATCGCCGCATGGCACGCACCAATTTATGAGCGTGCG